TTGGAATGTAATAATGGAGGGATACAATCTATTTCAAGAGAAACAGACCAGACAAGAAAGGAGGAGGAGTGGCGTTATATGTCAGGGATGTGTATACCTGTGAAGAGATCCAAGATTTAGAACCTCAAAGCCAAAGTGAGAGCATTTGGGTCAAAATTAAGGGAGAGAAGAATAACAGTGACCTCATTGTGGGAGTTTACTATAGATCCCCAAGCCAAACGGAGGACATAGATGATGCCTTCCTGGAACAGATGGCCAAGCATGCAAAAGGAAGGGAGATAGTAGTAATGGGGGACTTCAATTACCCGGATATTTGTTGGATGTCAAACTCAGCCAAGAGCATAAGGTCAAACAGATTCCTCACTGCCTTGCAGACAACTTCATTGTCCAGAAAGTGGGAGAAGCAACAAGAGGAACAGCCATTTTAGATCTGGTCCTAACCAATGTTGATGACCTGGTTAGTGGGGTAGAAGTGGAAGGATCATTAGGCGCGAGTGATCATGCTCTTCTGAAGTTTACTATACAGCGGAAAGGAGCAGCCAAGCATACTAGGACTCAATTTCTTGACTTTAAGAAAGCCGACTTCATAAAACTTAGGGAAGTGCTGGGTGAGATCCCATGGACAGTAATACTAAAAGGAAAGGGAGTTCATGATGGCTGGGAGTTTGTTAAGAGGGAGATAGTAAAAGCACAACGTCAGGCAATACCAATGAGACGGAAACATGGAAGGTGCCTAAAGAAGCCAGGGTGGCTATCTAAAGAACTTTTAACTGAAGTTAAGATTAAAAAAGGATGTGTACAAAAAATGGAAAAGGGGGGAACCACCAAAGAGGAATTCAAACAAATAGCCAGCACGTGTAGACACAAAGTCAGAAAAGCTAAAGCACAGAATGAACTCAGGCTTGCTAGAGAGGTTAAAAGCAACAAAAAGGCTTTTATGGGTATGTTCGTAGCAAAAGGAAGAACAAAGAAACAGTGGGGTCACTCAGAGGAGAAGATGGTGAAATGCAAACAGGGGACACAGAAAGGGCTGAACTCCTCAATGCCTTCTTTGCCTCAGTCTTCTCCGATAAAGAAAACAATGCCCGACCTGAAGAATTTGGAGCAAATGATTCAGCAAAGGAAACACAGCCCAGAATAACTAAGGAGATAGTACAAGAATACTTGGCTAGTTTAGATGTATTCAAGTCTCCAGGGCCAGATGAACTGCATCCAAGAGTATTAAAAGAACTGGCAGATGTGATCTCAGAACCACTGGCAGTCATCTTTGAGAATTCCTGGAGAACAGGCGAAGTCCCGGCAGACTGGAGGAGGGCAAATGTTGTCCCTATTTTCAAAAAGGGGAAAAGAGAGGACCCAAATAATTACCGCCCAGTCAGTCTGACATCAATAGCAGGGAAGATTCTGGAGCAGATCATTAAGCAAACAGTCTGTGAGCACCTAGAAAGGAATGCTGTGATCACCAATAGTCAGCATGGATTTCTGAAAAATAAGTCATGTCAGACTAACCTGATCTCGTTTTTTGACAGAATTACAAGCCTGGTAGATGAAGGGAACGCAGTGGATGTAGCCTACCTTGATTTCAGCAAGGCATTTGACAAGGTGCCCCATGATATTCTTGTAAAGAAGCTGGTAAAATGCGGTCTTGACTATGCTACCACTCAGTGGATTTGTAACTGGCTGACTGACCGAACCCAAAGGGTGCTCATCAATGGTTCCTCTTCATCCTGGAGAAGAGTGACTAGTGGGTGCCACAGGGTTCTGTCTTGGGCCCGGTCTTATTCAACATCTTTATCAACGACTTGGATGATGGACTCAAGGGCATCCCTGATCAAATTTGCAGATGACACCAAACTGGGAGGGGTGGCTAACACCCCAGAGGACAGGATCACACTTCAAAACGACCTTGACAGATTAGAGAACTGGGCAAAAACAAACAAGATGAATTTTAACAGGGAGAAATGTAAAGTATTGCACTTGGGCAAAAAAAATGAGAGGCACAAATACAAGATGGGTGACACCTGGCTTGAGAGCAGTACATGTGAAAAGGATCTAGGAGTCTTGGTTGACCACAAACTTGACATGAGCCAACAGTGTGACGCGGCAGCTAAAAAAGCCAATGCAATTCTGGGCTGCATCAATAGGAGTATAGCATCTAGATCAAGGGAAGTAATAGTGCCACTGTATTCTGCTCTGGTCAGACCTCACCTGGAGTACTGTGTCCAGTTCTGGGCACCACAGTTCAAGAAGGACACTGACAAACTGGAACGTGTCCAGAGGAGGGCAACCAAAATGGTCAAAGGCCTGGAAACGATGCCTTATGAGGAACGGCTAAGGGAGCTGGGCATGTTTAGCCTGGAGAAGAGGAGGTTAAGGGGTGATATGATAGCCATGTTCAAATATATAAAAGGATGTCACATAGAGGAGGGAGAAAGGTTGTTTTCTGCTGCTCCAGAGAAGCGGACACGGAGCAATGGATCCAAACTACAAGAAAGAAGATTTCACCTAAACATTAGGAAGAACTTCCTGACAGTAAGAGCTGTTCGACAGTGGAATTTGCTGCCAAGGAGTGTGGTGGAGTCTCCTACTTTGGAGGTCTTTAAGCAGAGGCTTGACAACCATATGTCAGGAGTGCTCTGATGGTGTTTCCTGCTTGGCAGGGGGTTGGACTCGATGGCCCTTGTGGTCTCTTCCAACTCTATGATTCTATGATTCTATGAAATGAGTTCGTTGATGTATTCTAAGTGTTTCAGTACGACTGAAGCTATTTCCACATTCAATACATTTAAATGGTTTCTCCCCCGTGTGAGTTCGTTGATGTCTTCTAACTGTTTCACTACGACTGAAGCTCTTTCCACATTCAATACATTTAAATGGTTTTTCTCCTGTGTGAGTTCGTTGATGTATTCTAAGATCTCCACTTTGACTGAAGCTCTTTCCACATTCAATACATTTAAATGGTTTCTCTTCCATGTGCGTTCGTTGATGTCTTCTAAGTTTCCCACTTTCACCGAAGCTCTTTCCACATTCAATACATTTAAATGGTTTCTCCCCCGTATGAATTTGTTCATGTACTTTAAGTGCTCCGTTATGACTGAAGCTCTTTCCACACTGCATACATTTAAATGGTTTTTCTCCTGTGTGAGTTCGTTGATGTATTCTAAGGTGTCCATTCTGAATGAAGCTCTTTCCACATTCAATACATTTAAATCGTTTCTCTCCCGTATGAATTAGCTGATGCCTTCTAAGGAGTCTACTTTGACTGAAGCTCTTTCCACAGTCCACGCATTTAAATGGTTTTTCTCCTGTGTGAGTTCGTTGATGTATTCTAAGATCTCCACTTTGACTGAAGCTCTTTCCACATTCAATACATTTAAATGGTTTCTCTTCCATGTGCGTTCGTTGATGTCTTCTAAGTTTCCCACTTTGACTGAAGCACTTTCCACATTCAATACATTTAAATGGTTTCTCCCCCGTATGAGTTCGTTGATGTATTCTAAATGCTCCACTTTCACTGAAGCTATTTCCACATTCAATACATTTAAATGGTTTCTCCCCAGTGTGAATTTGTTCATGTACTTTAAGTGCTCCGTTATGACTGAAGCTCTTTCCACACTGCATACATTTAAATGGTTTTTTCTCCTGTGTGAGTTCGTTGATGTATTCTAAGGTGTCCATTCTGAATGAAGCTCTTTCCACATTCAATACATTTAAATGGTTTCTCCCCCGTGTGAGTTCGTTGATGTATTCTAAGGTGTCCATTCTGAATGAAGCTCTTTCCACATTCAATACATTTAAATCGTTTCTCTCCCGTATGAATTAGCTGATGCCTTCTAAGGAGTCTACTTTGACTGAAGCTCTTAACGCACTCCATACATTTAAATGGTTTCTCTCCTGTATGACTTCGCTGATGACTTTTAAGTGTGCCACTTCGACTGAAGCTCTTTCCACAGTCCACACATTTAAATGGTTTTTCTCCTGTGTGAGTTCGTTGATGTATTCTAAGATCTCCACTTTGACTGAAGCACTTTCCACATTCAATACATTTAAATGGTTTCTCCCCCGTATGAGTTCGTTGATGTATTCTAAGTGTTCCACTTTTGCTGAAACTCTTCCCACATTCAATACATTTAAAAGGTTTCTTCCCCGTGTGAGTTCGTTGGTGTATTCTTAGTGCATCATTTCGACTGAAGCTCTTTCCACATTCAATACATTTAAATGTTTTCTCCCCTGTGTGAGTTTGTTGGTGTATTCTAAGTTTTCCACTTCGACTGAACCTCTTTCCACATTCCGTACATTCAAATCGTTTCTTTCCTTTGTGAGTTTGTTGTTGTATCCTCAATTTCTTTGTTCTTTCGCATAAATTCACAGGTGGCTCCATAGAATTCTGACTTTCATCTTCCTCACCTGTTTGGGAGTCTGGGAGGAAAGAGAATCCTGTTAGACTTTCAAGAAAGACAAAAATGGAACTGAACAACTGTCAATCCCAGTCTGCACCTTCTCTCATTGTAACACCTTCATTCTCCACTATCCTCTAGAGGTTCCAAATTTTACGAAAGCTAATAATGGCAAGATAATGGCAAGAGCAATACATGATCACTCCATTCACACTTACTAAGGCATCTTCATTTTATAATACAGATCTATGCTGGAACTGGTTTATTAGACACATCTCTATTTCTCTTTCTCAAGTGAATGATCACAGACTAAAGTAACAGTGTCTCCATTGTGAAATCAGTAAAACTGAAGTGCTATATGTAACTGTAAAAATATTGCACTATATTGGAACCTAAGAAGAGCCTTCTGGATCAGGCAAAGGCCCACCTAGTCCAGCATCCTCTTCTCACAGAGGCCAACCAGATGCCTGTGGGAAACCGGCAAGCAGGACTGGAGCACAAGAGTCTTCTCTGCCTTCCTGTGCTTTCCAGAAACTAGTATTAAGAAGCATTATTGCCTAGGACCGCGAGGGCAGAGCAGAGACGTCAGTCTTATCCTTTTTTCAAGCTATCCAAGTTGCTGGCCATCACTGTGTCCTGTAGGATGGAAGTCCATAGATGAACTATGCTTCTGTTGATTCATCTTTGCAGCCCTTAAAGGCTGATAAATGTATTATTGCCTAAGCTTCTGTGGGACTTAGTGGACTCTTGACCAGGAAAGCTGGTGCCACTATAAACCTCTGAGTCTCTTTGTTGGCTTTGTGTACTTATTTTCAAATTTGCACCAAGGTTGTACCACAGTATCTCCATGGAAGCTTAGGGACGGACAAAATTACAGGGTGTCAGCTCCGTGAATCTCAAGCCTCTCGTGCCTCTGCTGACAGAGCCTGAGAACGCAAGAGATGTGATTCAGTTGGAATGAGAAGCAGGGGAGGAGCAGCCAAGCTGCAGCAGGAGCAAAGAACAAAGAGCAGGAAGAGGGGGTGCCGGGGCGGGGCATAGACTGTTAGCTCCAGTTTGAGGTCTGACACAGAGACCCTGGAAATAGCCTGTCCAAAAAATCGTAGGCTCAAGAGAATCTGCAAGAAGAGGGGAAAAGAAAGTGAAAGTGGGGGCTTCTTTGCTGGAGGACTCGGCAACTGCAAGCTGGGATGAAGAGGCCGAAGACTGAGCTCCACAGTGATTTGTGAGTTTGAGGAACAAACCTGAGATAATTACTACTGGAGTTGTCTCGTGTCTGTGCGGGAGAACCAAGGGGCGCTAAAATTATTATCCCACTCACTCACTCTCACAAACAACCCCAGTCTGTAAGATTGGCAAGTTTACACAATTTGCTTATAATACCAGACACTCTTGGACTTTATATGCCCAATCCTAAGTGTAGAGCCTCCAGCCACAGGAATCGTGTATCATGATAACTGGTCCTTTGTCCCTTAAGCCCACCAAACTGGGGAGGTGCATGCATTTATTGTGTTTTGATGCTGGTGGAATGTATCATTCTGACTCTGTCTATAAAAAATAAAGGTAATAGAAACCATTTAAATACATTAATTATAAATAATTATGGGAAACATTTCCATTCCCCTTCACCCATTGTTCAGGATTGGTGTGCAACATCATTATCATCAATTATTCCTGCCATGGAAATAACACCTAAGGTTTCAAAGCCTGGAGGAAGAAAATCTGTCCCCACTACTTTAGGAAAAGGATTCAAGAAACAAAGAGCTGCTCCGGAGTTAATTTGCTGCTGAAATGGAATACACAAGATGAAACAGTTAAATCGGCTATGATTAAGTGGGCACAGGACATTGGTCATAACATTATGTTTGCTGACTGGGAATGGTTGTGGAACACCGGTATTAAATTCACGGCATGTAATGCCTTAAAGGAAAACATTATGAAAATGATATACAGGTGGTACATGACCCCAGTCAAGCTAGCAAAAATCTATCATTTGCCTGATAATAAGTGTTGGAAATGTAAAGAAACTGAAGGTACTTTTTATCACCTTTGGTGGACATGCCCGAAGATTAAGGCTTTCTGGGAAATGATATACAATGAAATGAAAAAGATACTTAAATGTACTTTCTCTAAAAAACCAGAGGCCTTTCTCTTGGGCATTGTCGGCCAATTGGTGTCAAAGAAGGACAGAACTTTCTTTATGTATGCTACAACAGCAGCAAGAATACTCATCGCAAAGTATTGGAAGACACAAGATTTACCCACCCTGGAAGAATGGCAGATGAAAGTGATGGACTATATGACATTAGCTGAGATGACTGGCAGAATCCGCGATCAGGGAAAGGAGACGGCGGAAGAAGAATGGAAGAAATTCAAAATCTACCTTAAGGACTATTATAAACTTGATGAATGTTAGAATGTCGAGGTTTGAGTAAGAAAGGGTTACAGCGATATAAGACTAGGTTGAAGGAAAGACTAAGAGGACAGAGGATTGACAGATATATTTAGAGTTGCTAAAAACTTTTGGACATTGGGATGCAGAAAGGGGAGGTATGGGGAAGTCTGAGAAACACGGTTTATGAAAAAAAGGTTATGAAATTATACGTGTTTGTATGTCTTTTTATATGTTTGTATTGTCTTAAAAAAATTTTGTAAAACCAATAAAAAATTTATAAAAAAAAAAGAGCTGCTCCGGAGAAGGCCTCACCGGTTCCTTCTTCCTGTCAGGAACTTCCTTCCATTTGTCTCCTCTCCATCTATTCCGCTTTCTCCACCACCATCCCTCTATCCCTGTCCCCATCTCCTCTCCCCTGGAACTCACCAGATTTCTCCAGGGTCCTGGGAGGGAATGCTCAGAGGTTGTGGGGAGGGATGCGGGAGACAGCCTGACCAGGTCAACCGTCCATCTTCCTCCTTCCATCCTGGCCAGGGTTGCAGGTTCAGTCTCAGCTAGGTTTGCAGGTTCAGCTTTCCGAGGAG